AAGTACAAAGTAATTAATAAACAGGTAAGCATGATAACAGAGTAAAACATTATCAGAATTACACTGAATAAAGAAATAAACACAAGGCTGTAACAGAAATAGAAACTAATGAAAACGCAGCATAAAAACATTTATTCGTCTCTTAGTTAAACAATAATTTTCTCTCTCTTATTTATAAAGTTTCATATTTATTTGCTTTAATTGTTTTATAACAGATACTCAGACACACAAATACACAAATAAACACAGAGAAGAACAACTGACAACTAATTATTTGTTAGTTTTTTGTTCTTTTATAAAAGGACAATCAACCTTTTTCAATGCTTTGAACCAGCATCTGGCTCTGAGGCTCCAGCTGTGCATGAACACGACATGCACAGTAGTTTGTAGCTGCAGACAAAAATGACTTCTGCAGCTGAAGCGTGTCGTCAGTAAAAAAATACAAAAGTAAAAACCCACTGAGACGAAAAATAATCCGCTTTAATGTTGGGAGAGAATGACACGACAAAAACAACAATAAACACTGAAAGAAGCTGATTTTTATTTGTGAAATGTTCAGTTTTACAGATTCATGCTTTACATCTCACACACACACACACACACACACACACACACACACACACTTTATGACATCAGAAACACATGCAGACATCTTTGTGTCCATGCTGCATCATCGTCCCTCTTTTAAAACAAACCAGAGCTTTTATTTTGAAAACCTGAACTCCTGTAGCTGCGCAGCTTCCAGTGGAGTGAGTGACCTCGAGACTCGACGTGATTGGTGCGATTGTCCCTCAGAGAGGGAGAGCAAAGCTTCTTCTTCTCCCTGACCTCCAGCAGCGCCACCTCTCTGACTCACCTGCAGCACCGCCCACCTGAGCCCCGTCGCTCGGACCCTGTGTGCCGCAGCAGTTTAAAAAGGTTCAGGTGGAGCTCAGCTGAGCTCACGGCGTTACAGTGTGCGTGGAGAACGGCAGCGTCTGTCTGAACCCGCAGCCACGTGTTATTATTTGTTATTAATAAGAATAAACCCCACAGACCGTGGACGCGCAGATCGAGCAGCTCCTCCCCGTTCACGCGTTCGTAACAAACATAACATCTCTAATTACGAGCTTTACCACAGTTTTTCTGTACTTGGATCTTTATGACGTCACACCGGCGTCTGTGTTGAGAAACCATCAGAGTCACAAACTTTAGGGTGATAAAGGCCTCGTGTCCAGGACCAGGCACCTCGGGGGGACAAAAAGACTAAACGGCACTGAGGACCAATCATCTCACAGGGAGACAGGGGGCGGGGCGTTACAGTTCTTGTGGTTGCCGCTGATACGAGTGAATCCCCAAACGTTGAGCTCCCGCGGTGTTTTTGTTTTTCTTGTTTTGGTTGAAATACTTGGAGAGAGGACGTGTGGATGCGAGCACCTCAGCGGTGTTTGGGAGAGGGGCATCAACCGCTGCCCCTCAGGGAAGCTCAGCTGCTCGGCTCCTTTGGGTGGATTCTCAGCCCCTCTCTGCAGCGCCCCCTGGTGTTTGGAGCTACTCATCATCAGTTTGTTTCCACGTAAACCAAACTGCTCATTAAAGTAAAGTTTTAAGAGCTGCTGCTGTTTCTGTGATAAATGAAGTTTCTACAGCTACATGTTACACTGAATGAAGCGCAAACAGGAAGAGCTCCAGCACGGTTTAAAAAGAAGTTCAGTGTCCTGATACGTTTATGTTCAGAAAGGATTTTATGGTTTGTGCAGAAGATGAGAAGAAAAAAAACAGAAACAGGAGAGCTGCACTCGGGGTCCTCACAAAGACAGAAAGACAAGTATGTGTGTGTGGTGGTCCATCAGGAGACCCTCCTCTTCCTCCTCCTCCTCCTCCTGCTGTCTGTTTGAAGCTTCAGGCTTTTATTCTGGAAAGCAGCGAGAGAAAGAGGAGAACACATCACAGCCCAGAGAGTGTGAACATGAGCCAACAAAGACAGGAAGTAAAGCATAGGATGCTACAGGAAGAACTAACTTTCAAAATAAAGCAGGAAGTAGACTCAGAAGCAGAACAGAGTGACAGAAGCAGCACTTTGAAAAATGGGATTGAAAAGCGGACTTCTGGGAACGCACACACCTGTCAGCGCCGTCCTGTCGGCTCAGTGTCCCTGCTGCAGACAGAAGGTTTCACACTCAGTAATCAGATTACACAGAAAATACGTGAAAAATCACACTGAACAAAAATTAAAAACAGCAGTGACGTCCTGAGAGTCGTGCAGCCCAATCAGCTGCATAGCCAGGTAAACGGCGTGCTGATTGGCTGTCACGCAGACTTACGGCGGCGGAGTGGCTCAGCTTGTCGAAGCGAAACTTCAGGTTGGATCTGGGCGAGTTCTTGTTCCTCAGCTCTGAGAGAGGAGAGAGCAAACGAGACGTGAGAACGGCTCCAGAACAGAAACGCTGGCGGTGAGCGGCGTTGCACCTGTGGGGCTGCGGCACACGATGACCGGAGCTGAACTCTGACCTTCTGCCGTCGCAGCCTGGACACGCACAGAGAGAGGACGCAGTGATGAGTCTGCGTTACAAGGCGCCCTGAATAACACGGGGCTGATGTAACGCCGAGCGCGTTTTCTTACCAGGTGTGCGTCGTCAGCTGGGATGCTGAAGCTGCAGGTGCTGGACGTCGACCTGGAGATCTTACTGCTCTCCTTCTTCGTGTGGATCCTGCCGTGGAAGTGAAAAAGTGAAGTTTATTGTTTCGCAGTGAAACTGAAACATCTGCGTCTGCTGCACACACCTGTCCCGCTGCCCCGCCTCTGGAGAGCTAGGATTGGACGGCAACTCTGGCCTCACCTCGAGCATCGGGTTGCAGCCGTCGAAGCTCCTCTGCTCACCGAGGAGGCTGAGGAGGCGTATCAGAGACAGGAGGAGGCGGGGTTAATGTCCTGGAGGCAGGTTAAATACACAGCACACCTGGAGGTGCACGCCCACCTGTGCAGCCGTGCTGACATGCACACTGGTGGGTTTGAACAAACTGAGAGCGTCGGGCGGCGTTACCTCCTCTGGCTGTGCTTCTCTGTTTGGCTGTCGACGCTCAGCAGGCGAGGAAAAAGTCCCGAGCGCCGCTTCACGGGAGACTTGACGTTACACTGCCAACGCAAAGAGTCCAGGTGTCAACGGGGCGCTCACAGACGAGCGGGTTCAACCTGCTCCTTCAGCTACCTGCAGAACAACTCACCTCCACGTTCAGGTGCGCCAGACCCCCCCCACTCAAACTGGTGGGCAGTCCAACCCCGCCCCTCGACATGGTCTCCATGGAGACGCTCCTCCCTCGCATCGCCCTCTGAAATGGAAAAAGAGGCGTCCAGTAATGGAATCCTGATTAGTTCTACACAGATGGCTTCTTCCTGTCCGTGCCTTTCAGAATAAAAGCTCTAGCTATCTACACAGTGTGACTGTGACTCTGACACAGAAAGCAGCTGTTTGCAACTTAAACAAAACCTCATCTCTGGTTTTACTGGCTATGAAATTCATGGTTTTCCTAATAAATATTTCTTTGTTGTTGTAAAAATGATTTCTTACTAATTAAACATAATGTTGTGGACAAAGACTGGATGGGTTTAACTTCACTATCACTGAAAGTTCCATAAAGTAAATAAAAAAGAAATAAATTTGCTTCATAATTCATCGATGAGGGAAAATATAACATGTCTGTTACTTTGTCAAACACATTTACGTGGACCAAAAACTGTGAATGATGACAGATCACGTGCTGAGGTACGAGTCCGACGTCACTGACAGTAACTCGTCTCAAACACGCTGCTGACACACTCACATCCACATTACAGCTTTTACTGCTTGTAAAGTGGGACTACTTTCCTCGGTGGAGGTGTGTGATTGGTTCTGGAGCGTCCCATCAAACCATCATCAGGAAAGGTCAACATTCACCTTGATGGACTCCAGCAGTCCTCCGTGGGCCTGTCCGTTCTCCCCTCGCCCCTCCTCCTCCGGCCCTGGCGTCAATCCCAGCATGCTCTGGGAGCGTCTCTGCAGCTCGTCATGGAGGCTGTCCAGGAGGGCGGCGCGGGTTCGCTCCTGACGGAGACGCAAAAACTCTCATGAAATCCCTCGCTGTGTTATTTCTGTAAAGTTCAGGTGGCGTCGCAGATCTTCTGGCGCTCAGGTTTACGTTTCCCAGGCAGCAGAGCGGCTTTTAGAGCGTCAGCTTCTCTGCAGCATCACGACTGACTTTATGTTTAATGTGAATCATTTTTCTCTGCTGTCACTTATAATCGAAACCAAAACAAATCACTCGAGCGTCCATCAAGCACGCTCGCAGTCTGAACAGTGCAGCGATTACAGACGCACTGCAGGAGTTTACCTGCAACAGAATCGTTCCTTTGCTTCCTGTAAAAGCCTGACGTGTCTTTATGTGTTTGTAGGTTCATATAATTAAATACTTCCTGTTACATCATGAGCTCAGTACTGAAATCTGTTACTGTGATTGCATCACTGCGTCGGTGCGTGGTTGTGGCGGCCTGCAGCTCTTTCTACCTCGAGTCGGGCGAAGCGGTCGCTCTTGTAGCAGGCCAGCTCTGCGTTGATGAGTTTGGTGAGAAGAAACTCTCTGAACTCTGGACCCTGAAGTACAAACGCAGCAGACGTAAGCACAGCTCTCAGATCAGCCTCAGCCTATGAAGAGTCCAACAGCCTCACCTTTTTAAAGACAGGGGCGGCGAGGGGCGGGCCAAAGGGCGGGACGTCCTCTCGTGCTGTGACGGAAACCTGTCACACAGAACAGCTTCTGTTGTAACTGGTGGAGTGAAAGAGGCAGATCTGTGTCCCCGCCCACGCAAACCCACCCAGCTATGAGCAACAATGCAGAGACGCTCCCTCTCCTCAGTGAGAGAAGGAGGAGCCTCTGGTGGGAGGCCTCATCTCCGCTGTTGTCATGTTTCAGAGGCTGAAAGAGAAATCTTCAGCCGCCACGAGGATTTGTTTCTGTGAATTCAGATTAAACTGCACCTGATGCCACGAAGCTCACAGACAATCGTGGAGAAAAGGAAGCCGGCGTGTACCTTGTAGGAGGTGGTCTCAGAGCACGGCTCCTCCGCCTGCACCACGACGAAGGCGTGGAGGAAGTTGGAGGCGATCATGTCGGGGACGAAAGGCGTGGCCTCTTCTTGAAAAACCAGCGCCACGATGTCATTTCCGATGTGCCGTTTCCTCTGCAGCTGAAGGACAGAGTGATGCTGTTACTGCAGTCGGCTCATGAAGTTTATGAAGCACAGCAACAACTTCAGAGTGTTTCTGTCACAGTGTTACAGGACAAACTGAACGACAGTCTGACTGAACTCGCTGTTTGGATGCAAACACTGAACCAGCAGCTGCAGTTCCCCTGACGGCCAGCAGAGGCTCTCGCAGTGAGTCGCTCACATGTTCAGACTTTACAGCAGCAACAACACGTTTACAGGCTGAAACTAAATAAATAAATAAACCATTTTTGGCTCTAGATCATGTCCCCTGCAGCTGTCAGCTTCACCTCTGTTTGTGCTGCTGGTGCAGACACAGGGTCACGTGATGACGAGCACCCCTCCTGCTGCAGGCGTCTGCTTTACACGGAGCCAACCTGCCGAACCGTCTGCTGCTCCTGTTTCACGCTGACTCATTCTGTGTTTTGTTTCTCTGTCACGCCGTCTTCGTGCCGCCTACCTGCTGGGCGTCTCCCTCGGTGAAGGGCAGCTTGGTGGACACGTGGAACATGATCTCCTGCTGCCGGTGGACCGTGTAGATGGACTGAGAGCCCGTCTGACCGTGAGACACATCCAGACCCCCCCGAAACCTGCACAGAGGAAACGGGCACCGCTCAGTCTGCTCTGAGGTTAACGAAAGCTATTTAGAGTTCGGAGTAAATAGTTGCGATTCAGAGCGAATCAGCCATCTGTGCTCATGTTGGCCTCCCTCCTGATTTATTTTGGTTTGTGTGCTGATTGTTCTTTAAGAAGCTTAATCTGTGTGATGGAGCAAAGCTGGAAACACGCAACACGCAGAATGAAACGGCGTTTGACTGAATCTGAACAGGTCCAGTGACAAACATCAGGACCAGTAAATGTTTCGTTTCACTGCAGACAAACAAAATATCAACAAACACTGTTTAATATTCTGAGTAATAAATAAACGTTGAGTCTGTCTCAGGTTATTGTTTATGGGTCACTGATTACAGACCGTTTTGTGTGTTTGATTTGTCCGTCAGTCCGTGCTGGACTAAACTGTGGCACAGCTACAAAATTTGCTCCATGAAGGATCTGCTTTGGCATTAACTGACATGTCACTGATAGAAACAACTGATTAAACGTGACGATTTGCAGTTTTGTCTCGTCTCTCACCCTTTGAAGTCCTGCAGATCCACTGTGTCTCCCAGCAGCTGCAGGAACTCTGTGAAAGCCGGCGTTTCCTCGTTGTTCCTGAACAGCTCCTCCTCGGACACCTGAGGGACAGGTGACATGTCAGCTACGATACTCTCATCACAGGTGAACTACCCTCAGAAAGAACTAAAGATGGCAACATTGAGATTATTATTTTAAAATTAATGTTGGCTAATGTGTTTTTCATAGTGTGAAAAGATTTGCTGAAACAGGTTTTACAGCAGTGCTGATATAATCAGCAGGATCAATAACATCACCCACTGCTGGGCTGTGCACTCACTGATAATAGGACCAAAACAAAATACTTCTTGGGTTGGTCTGCAGCGTCCTCTGGAGTGTTTACAGCTTATATATATTTGGTCGTACCATGTAAAATCACCCAGGACCTCTAAATCAGCTCATTTCGTCCAAACGATAGTTGCAGCATATTTAGTAGAAATATGTGGAAAACAGTAACAGCTACTGGAGTGCATCAACAAACCTAAGTGCTTCAGTTAGAGATCAGCCCACTAGTGGGAATAAAGAAGGAAGACGGAAACACCGAGTGGACACAAAGCAGGTGGTGAGGTACCTGACCAAATCTCTGGTAGATGACTCCAAACTTGTAGGTGTTGTTCACCTCGTGCTCATCATAGTTCACTATTAGCTGAGACGCCTGCAGACAAAGACAGACGTGCATCATCTCCTCTGACACTGAACAGAAGCCCAGGTGTGCTGACGGCGTGGGAGCCTACCTTCGGGTACAGGACGGGACTGAACCGCAGACCTGCCGCCTCGTCGCACAGCAGCTTCGCAATGACAAACATCGAGGTTAGAGTTAGAACGACGCTGAGCCTTCAGAGGTCTCAGCCTGAGTTCAACCACAGAGGACATCATGGACCCACTTGGGCTCGAGCGCGTACAGCATGTAAAGCAGCTGTGAAGCAGCTACACTATCCAGTCTGAGGTGCTGGTGCTTACCTTGGCCAGCTCTGGTACGCTTGGGATGTCCGGCAGCTCTGCCAGAGATAATCTGTGGTAGACGCTTTTCACCCGAGATCTAATGAAACAGGAGAGACCAGAAACCAAACGTTACCTCCAAGAATAAGTAACTAAGTACTTGTTCTGTCCTCACACCGACTCATTGACACCAGGTAGCAATAAATGCTTGGCCCACATGTGGACCACATCTGCAGTTTTCTTTGACCATAATCGGCCTTGACCGAGGGAGACGACTCAAGTCTTGCTCCCTCTACTCAGCCAGAGCAACACCACATCTGGGCCAGATGTCAGGTGTATCGTAACATCTGGGTAACACCTGGCCTACTGAACACCTGCCATGAGCCGACTCAAGTAGGGCGAGATATTTGTTAGTAGCTTACATGAGCCATCAGTGCCAAAAGTCGAGATCCTGACATGTTTATGAGCCCCACCCTATCATCTGCCTCCTGTGTGACCTTAATGACCCAACAAGCTTCCTTTGACTCGAGCAGTCCTGAAGACTGAAGAGGAGAGGTGGTTGACTCTGTGAAGGGCGCATTAACAACGAACTATTTCAGCTTGAAATCTTAATTGAATTGAACTCGAGGTGGTTGGCCGTCGGTCCCAGCTGCTCACACAGACTTCAGTCGGCTGCTGTTCTTCTTCGGGTCGTGTGGTCAATTCATAGAAGATCTGCTCCACACGGGATCTGACTCATCTGAGAGCAGCAGCCTCGTAGGTGGACTGAGTCAAACTCTGGTTTCAGGACCTGATTTATTTTAGCTCACACTGAGCTCGTTTGGGCTTTTATCAGCTTCTGTTTCACTTTAGAAGATTTCTGAGGCTCGTGTTCGTCATCAGAGAG